TAACGACAGCAACAGTAACAACTACGCCACAACCAGCACTAACAAGAGTAGCAGCAATAGTAATACCACAAGATGTCTTTGTTTTGGTACTTACTGCGGTAAGTCGTCTACGATTGACATCCACAGCGCGAGTCATTTCTTCGCGACGCCTTTGTATTTCTAGCTTATGCTGTAAATAATACAAATTGCTTTGAACATACAGCCTTGATATCATAAAGATGAATTGTTTAATTTAGCAAACGTCAATCAATATCAACGTGGTTGATATCTATCTCTTTTTATCCTTAAAACTATAGGTATTACAAGGAAAGAAAATAATAATAATAACAATAAATATAAATAAAAAATAAGAACAATTATGATATAGAATAAGAGAAATGACATGTTAATTTCCACTCTATAAGTACCACCACAAATAACATGTAAATCGAGTATTAAGGATGAAAATAAAATTTGATAGAATACATATTTACAAATTCAGCTTATAAAATCCAATTCATTCTTAAATTGTTAAATAATGTTCTAAATTTCTGAGAAAGAGCTGTTACAATCTCTTCTGGAAGGAAGTTCCAGTGTTTCACCGTAATTAACTTGTCGTTACGATGCACAAAAATTCAGGGCCGGTCAGGATAATTGATTTAGAATGTTGGTATATTTACCTCTTCTAGTGATGTTGCTCGCAGATCTTCAGTGTCCATTCCGTGTTGACTAAAACAACACGTACAAATTAGTATTTTCTCATCATTATTAGTTGCTGTTACAAGACCACTACAAAACACGTGATAAACCGAGACAAAAAAACCTTACCGTGTGGTTGTGAGAAGTGATCGGGACAAAAACCTGGCCGAGATGCTCAGGCGTCCAGGAAGGAAAGGTAGAGGTTTATCAAGTTTGCTGTCTTCAGGTGTTGGTGCTCTTGGAAACTCGGGTGGTTTTTCTTTGGTTGGTGTTGAAGCAAGACATTCAAAGTACTTTTTGACTTCTTCTTGTTGTTGTTCTTCTTCTTGGTTGAGTTTTGTCTTGGTTTCGTCTTCAGGCTTGACATCCTCAAGGACGGACAATGGATCTTCCTCTTCATCACTTGATGATTCATCTAAACAAACAAAGACTTGTTGTAACATTCTACTGAATCACCTTTGTTTTACACAGAAAATGTATGGCTTATGCGGACAGTCTTCTTAAGCCATATATTTATTTATAATTTTTTTTAAAGATCGCATGTCAGCAGTTGCTAAACTCGCTAAACTTGATAACTTGTTCATTTCTTAAAAGTGCATGATTGTATTCATTTCTGACTTCCAAGTCCTGCACTCGTTTTCGTAGTGGCCAACTTGATCACTACTACTCCAAATGTGTGCACTCTATTACGGCAAACAAATAACATGGTCTTGCTGCTACATCTGCATCATAATCAACATTATCCAGAACTTTAAACTCATGGCTGTCACTATGAAAGTGAGTTTCATTTTAATGTTCTCTAACGTTACTTTCCATGGAAATCACCTATCGTTACATCTCATACTAACCTGCTGTTATCTTGTTTCCAATGTCTTCCTTGATCTAACAAGCGATAGTTGTGAGAAGGAATCAAATACACAATCAATATTACATTGCACTATACCTCATCATCACCAACTGATCTGCGCTCTGGTTTATCAGCTGCTGTAACCTGGAAAGACCTAAACAAACACAACATTAATAGAGGGTTGGAAGACTTGATGCAGACAAAATGGTTGTGCAATTAAAAAAGATATTCAGTCAACAACTATCATATTACTCTTGTTACTTTCTTCACAAGCAAACGCACTGAACACAATCTAATACATGGTTGACGTCTGAAAATAAATTCGCGTGGAAATGTTTATATCCACAAGTTCTCAAAATCTTGTTGAACTGGGCAACCAAATTGTCTTTATATACTTGTAGTATTATATTTAGGAATATAGTTGGGTGAGTTGTTTCATTTATTGATCAATCAGTGGATTATTTTATTATTTCATCTTTATTGCTTGATATGTTGGTTACTTGATTGACAGATGGATGAAACGATTGAATAAAATGTGATTATTGATTGCATGACTGCCAGTTATGATATTGACTTCACATCTTACTTTAACAAGAGAAAAGGAAGTGGCATTATGAATGCAGTTTATTTCGATTTATTAAATAGTTGATGTTTTATGTATAGCTGACACACTACATAAATACTGTYTTAGTAATGGAAAACTTGTTTAACATGCAAGAGATTTATTGTCACCAATTCAACYAGAACTCCCCATTTGTTGAACTACCATTATTTTTCCCTTTTCTCTTTTTGTCGTGATTAAATGCAGTAGTCGATCAAAAACAGGGAATGCATCTATAGWCAGGGTACAAACAATGCGTACGATTATTTTAGTGCGTTTTTATGACAATAGAATCCCATACCTGTCCGATTTTTCAATGTTAACTGGTCTAAAATCAAGTGGATAGGTATTGTAGTTAGAAGGAGGGAGTGTTGATCTAAACTGCTGTGTCGTATTGTGGATCAACTGAACTCGATGCCAATGTCTATTGCCATTAGTCAATGACTCAAAACGACGAGTCATTTCTTTTACTCCAGGAAAGGGACTGTAATGGCAGCAACACAACAAGAAAAAAACATGAGTTCCATGTACCATACATGTTGCGTTTTTTATTGTTTAGTATTTTAAGTTGTTCATGTTTTATGTGATGGTTTATTTGTTTTGTTATAGCAACAAAGCACAGAGAGGTTACTGTAGTATGTGATTTTTTTGTCTTTTAAGTTTTTATAGTTTAAAAAATTCTGTCAAATTTGTTAAAAGTAATAAACAATACCGACATACATTCAGAGATGTCACATTCATTCACAACAATGTCAGTTAAGCCTTACTACATGTACAACTACCTAAAGGTTACCTTACAGTCTGTATATCCTATATATTATGTACAATGTTCTGTCTGGACAATGATTACCTTACAGTCTGTACTCCCTATATATGTACAATGTTCTGTTTACCTTACAGTCTGTACACCCTATATATGTACAATGTTCTATTTACC